TCTCTCGTTCTTTTCTTCCTTCAGCTTTATCTGCAAGAGGAAACATTCTCCCAAGAATAAGTCACTTTACTTAACAAGTAACTAGACTCAGCATAGTAATTTATCAGAAAATATACAAATTCAACTCTAGAAGTTAAAGGGAAAAACATGCTATATAACAATGTTTAGCAGAAATTACTTATAGTCATTTCAGAGACCAGTAACCCCAATGTGTCACACTCACAGCCCCTGGTCACTATCTCCCTTCATCTTGCTTTCTGTCTCCCATTATGCATGTCCAAACCAGACCCTGACTTTACTCCTTCCTCCTTTTTGTACCTTCCATTCTGTTGTTTTGACTCTCTTTCCTGGCTTTTGTTGCTGTATCAGACAGATGACTTTTACAGATAATAAATACTGTCCAATCCAATTTACTTCAATTTGTAACTTCAGTCTCAAGTCTTCCTTTTCCCTTCAATGTTGAGTTGGTCTCCTGTAAAGGACTTAAATGGGCAGGAATGTAGTTGGATATTTCTCTTCTCCTTCATCTCTAAAATATCTTTTGTCTAGGACTTTCTGATATTAAGTTTTCCTACTTAACTGCTGAATATTTAGAAGTCTTTTAGAGACCTCTATGTGATAGAGCCAGAATTAGGATTCTACTATGAGGTGAATGTATGAATCCTTCGGTCCTGTAAGAGGCATCCTCATAGCCAAGTTCCTGTCACAGGAGACATACTCATGTTTTGCCGCCTTAAATAGCCTCCTAAACTTCAATCCTTAGTGGGGAAATCCACAATTTCACCAGTAGATATCTGTCTTCATCAGGATTCTAGCAGGAAAGCTCACAGCTGAAACATTTAATATGATCTGTTGTGGAAAGCATCCATGCCCTTCCTCATAGGGATGTTAGTGAGGGAACCACAATTCTATTCTTCTGAGAAAACCAATCTCTACAGATAAATTTCCTAAAATTCCTAACTTTCTATTTTCACACTATGGGGATAATAGTAGGATTTGTTCAACAATAGGAAAAATTGTTCTAAGATTCTCTGATGAGAAATGTGAAGGGCTGGGCAGTAAGAATTCCACATTGATCTCCCCTTTATATTGACATGTTAAGTTGGTGGCTTGCATGTTGCTGTGATGCTGAAAGATAAGCCACTGGTATTCCAAATACCAGCAGGGTTACCTATGGTTAACAGGTTTCAGCTGAGCTTCCAGATTAAGATAGACCAGGAAGAAGGAGGGACAGACCATTTTTGAAAGGTTAACCACTGAAAACCTTATGAGTAGCAAAGGAACACTGTCAGATATATAGTGTTGGAAGTTGAGTTCCTCTGGTTGGAAGGCATTCAAAATATGATTGGGGAATTGCTACCTCCTTAAAGTAGAGTTGACCAGAATGACATGAACAAAGCAGAGCTTTGGGAACCTTCCTTTGCTTATGGGGCATAAGTCAAAATGAGAAGAAACAGCTGCAAATATCTATTAATAATAAGGGCAAGGAATATAGAAAATATTAATCTATGAAAATTGGAAGTTGTAAAATCAAATGGAATGTATAAAGATCAATATTAAACACACAAAAGGTGCCTATACACATGGACCCCACCAGATGAAATACACAGGAATCAGATTGATTATATCTGTGGGAAGAGACAGTGCTCAAGCTCAATAACATTAGCAAAACAAGGCTGTGGCAGACTGTGGACCAGACTAGCAAGTTCAGGCTGAAACTGAAGGAAACAAATCCACAAGACTCAAAATATGGCCTTGAAAAATCCCACCTGATTTTAGAGACCATCTCAAAAACAAAATTGATGTATTAGACACCAATGACTGAAGACCAGAAGAGTTGTGGGATGTCATCAGGAATATCATACAGGAAGTAAACAGAAGGTCATTAAAAAGAAAGAAAAACAAAAATGGATGTCAGAAGAAACTCTAAAACTTGCCCTTGAGTGTAGAGAAGCTAAAGTGAATAAAAGAAATGAAGAAGCAAAAGATTTGAAAAGAAAATTTCCAAAGGCAGCTCAAGAAGACTATGGTATTGTTATGAAACGTGCAACTACCTGGAGTTAGAAAAACATCTTCAACATTTCTAAGTAGAAAGAGCTGAAGAAAAATTCAAGTCTCAACTTGCAATATTGAAGAATTCTATGGGCAAAATATTGAATAATGCAAAGTATCAAAAGAAGATGGAAGGGATACACAGTCACTGTACCAAAAGGAAATGGTCAGTGTTCAACTATTTCAAGAGGTAACACACAATCAAGAACCAATAGTAATGAAGGAAAAAGTCCAAACTGCACTGAAGGCGTTGGTGAAAAGCAAAACTCCACGAATTGGCAGAATACAAATAGAAATCCCTCAACAAATTGATGTAGCACTGGAGGCACTCACTCACCTATGCCAAGAAATTTGGAATTGAGCTACATGACCAACAATTGTAAAAGATCCATATTTGTTACAATTCCAAAGAGAGGTGACCTAATGAAATATGGAAGTAATCTAGTAATATCATTAATATCACATGTAAGTAAAATTTTGCCGAAGACAATTTAAAACACTTGCAATAGTACATCAACAGGGAACTGCCAGAAATTCAAGCAAGATTCAAGAGGATGTGGAACTAGGGATGTCACTGTTGACATCAAATATATATTAAATGAAAGCAGAGGTTTTCCGACAGATGTAGGCAATTTGATTTCTGTGTATGCTATCTGGTGCAGTTCATGTGTATATTCATCTTTTTGTTGTTTAAAGAGGTATTTGCAATGAACAAGTCATTGGTCTTTCAAAATTCTGTCATGTGATCTCCAGCATTGTCTAAGCCAATATTTTCCAACTACTGATCCTTCCTCTTTGTTTCCAACCTCTGCACTCCAACCACCAGTAATTATCGATACATATTTATTGCATGCTTGATCAAATTCAGACTGAAGTTGGTAAAATTCTTCAATTTCATCATCACTGGCTGTGTAGTGGTTGGTGAGTAAACTTGAATAATAATGATATTAACTGGCTTCCTTGAAGATTTATGGATATTATCCCATCACAGACAGTATTTTACTTCAAGATAGATCTTGAGATGTTCTTTTTGATGAAGAATGCCATGCCATTCCTCTTCAATTTGCTATTACCACCATAGTAAACTACATGACTATCAGATTAATAATGACTAGTATCAGTCAATTTCAGCTCACTGATGCCTACGATATCTATCTTTATACCTTCCATTTTTATTTTGACAATGTGCAATTTTCCTATATTCATTCCATGTCCTGATGGCTAATAGCTATTTACAGGTACATTTCCTCATTTTGAGTTGTGCCAATCAGCAAATGAAGGTCCTGAAAGCTTTCTCCATTGTATCATCACAGTCAACTCTACATCGAGGAGGCAGCTCTTTCCCAGTTGTAATTTAAGTGCCTATCTGACAGTGTTCCTCTGCTATTCATAAGGTTTTCAGTGGTTAAACATTCAGAAGTAGTCCACCTCTTTTTCTTCTTAGCTGTCTTAGTCTGGAAGCTTAGCTGAAACCTGCCCACCATGGTTGTACCCTGTTGGTATTCAAAATACTGGTGGCATGGCAGCAGTACACAATCCACCACAATACAGCAAACTGATAGACAACTGTTGGTATTTAAATACAGCATGATTTAAATACAGCATTGGACTGCAAGTTTGGTTCAAACTCACCAGCTGCTCCTCAGAAACCATATGCAGGGTCCCTATGAGTCTAAAAAGTCTACAGCCTGAACAGCAACAACATAATAAACACAAATAGGCAAGAAAATTTTGTGACAATGAATTCATTCCAAACAAGCCACAGGCATTTTAAGCTCTGCCCACTTTATTTGTCCATCAAAACCAATCTTGACTCTGCTCTCTGCAAGTCCAGGAGTTCTATATAGAGCCCAAAGCCATGAAGTTATCCAAGTGGGGGCTCATTTCCTAAAGTCAAGCTCCACCACCATTTACTGAAACCCTAACCTACACATCTTATGCCAGGAGCTCAGGAGGCTGTAGTTGATCTGAAACCCCTGATATTTGGAGCAGCCAAGGGTCTTTGTGCACATTTCATTGTATTGCTCACTTGGAATCTGTTTCATGATTTTCTGTTTGCCTATCTCTCTTACTAGCTCAAGAATTTAATTCTGTTATAGTCACCACTGTTTCCAAGAAAACACATGAAAGAATCCACATTAAGACATGTGAGCTGAAGGAAGGAAGTAGGAAAGTCACTGGCTTCCTGGTTGGACATTATGCAAGTACCCAGGAAGAGGCTGGACACCCTCATCCTAGGAGTGGCCCACTCTGTCACCTCTCCTGGTTGCGAAAGCAGAAGAGTACCAAGGCTGTGCATCACAAACCAGCTCAGTATAAAAGTTCTCTTACCCTCAGCAGCTCATCCACAGCCTATTCATCCACAGCCTTCTCCTGCCTCCTGTGTATCTGGTGAGTGTCCAGTAGGGGCAGGCCTTTAGCTGAGTGTGCTCAGATTATAGCAGAAGAGAGGGAAACAGAGACATCTGAAGTGGAAATGGCAGAAACAGGACCACAGAGAGCAGCAATGGGAGAAGTGAAGGCCAAGAGCAAGAAAGGGGTCTCTGAGGGAGGATACAGGCAATCTGCGACTTGCAAAGGTCACTGAGACCCAGGGTTCCCTCCTATCCTCTTTAATTCTTGTCTTTACATGTGCACAAATGTTCTTTGACAGCCTTCAGAATGCTTCCCCAAGGGGGTGCCTTCCCCTATATGTTTCCACCACTAAAGCTTAAAAATGTGGATGCCCAGTTACAACAACATCTTTCCTAGAGCAAAGTAGGAAGCATCTTGCATACTCAGATTTACTCAAAATCAGTTTCATTTGTTTCCTTCAGCTCTTGGCTCAAAAAGCAACTGGTATTAGGAGTCAGGGATCTAGGAAATCACAAGAGAGGGAACATTGCACTGCAGATTCTGAAATAACAAGTTGCTTTTGTTTTGTCCAGAGTGACTCAACTCCTGCCGAGATGTCCTGCCAGCAAAATCAGCAGCAATGTCAGGCCCCTCCCAAGTGCCCCTCACCCAAGTGCCCCCCGAAGAAGAATCCTGCACAGTGCTTGCCCCCAGTCACCTCTGGCTGTGTTCCAAGCTCCGGGAGCTGCCATGGTCCCAGCTCTGAGGCTGGATGCTGCCTGAGCCACCACAGGCGCCATAGGTCCCACCGATGCCGGCGCCGGAGCTCCAGCTGCAGTGACGATGGCAGTGGTCAACAGTCTGGAAGCTCTGGCTGTGGTCACAGCTCTGGAGGATGTTGCTGACCTGGGCAATGTGAAAGAGTCAAGCAATTATAAAGGAAACAAACTCCTGTGAAGTTCCAAAGAGCACCCCAGCCTGACACATTCTTAGCTAGACCTGCTTTAACAGGTTGTGCAGTGCAGAGCTCTGCCCAGCAGACTCTTTCAGGACTTCACTATTCCTCCTGCACCAACTGATGCATTTCAGGTCCTGTGTCCAACACTGTGGAAAATAAAGCTTCTCCTTATCACCATCTGTGTATCATGTGTGGTTTCATTACAAGAATTTGATTGTGTTGTCGTTATCACTTTTCCCAAGAAAATATATGAGAGAATCCACTTCAAGATATGAGCTGAAGAAAGGAGAAAGGAAGGTTCCTTGTAGGTCTCAGTGGGATGTATGTGGACATTCCCCTCCTTAGATGCCTGTCTTATCAGCACCCCAATCCCAGCACTACAATACATGGGTGAGGTACAGAATACTAAATCTAGACCAAAGAAACCAGGGTTCTTTTGGGTATATTTATGCTGGAAGTGGGAGGCAGAATGGGAAGGAGGGGTACTGGATTCAGATCTCTAACCATCAGTACAAGGACTGACTTTTCCTAGGAAACAAGGAGCGGAGGCTTACCTGACAGTGCCACTCCCAGGCTCCTAGGAAGAGCTATTTCCTTTTTCTGGGAATTCAGCTAAGAAACAGGAAACAGATAGTAGGCAATGATCAGAAAATAAGAATAGGTGGTAGTTCACAAAAAGACATGTGACTGCACCTACAGGCAGCTTTTATTATCACTACTTGGAGGAAGGGGAAGTACTACTCCATCCATCTACCTCTCTGAGTAGATAGCAGAAAGGCCACTAAAAAACCCCGCATATCAAAGGACAGACCCCTGACACACACACACATACAAAGAATAATCTGGTCCAAAATGTCAATAGGGCCAAGATTGAAAGACTCCATATGAGAATAAGAGGCAGAGGAAGAACATGATGACATTAGGGAGGACAAATCTGCTCAAGAAATATCCTAGAGAGAAATGGTGGTGGTGGTGGTGGTGGTGGTAAGTGCTGTTAAGTCTATTCTGACCCATAGTGACCCTGTATAGGGTTTCCAAGGAGCAGCTAGTGAGTTTGAACCACCGACCTTGCAGTTCAAATGACTTTGCAGTCTGATGCATTAGTCCACAGCACCACACCAGGACTCCAGAGAGAAATGGGAGGTAGGAAATTAGGTAAAGCTAAGGAGGTGATGAATTAGGGGAAAGAAGGGACTGAGAGTTTAGGAAATGAGATAATGCAAAGAGTACCGATTATGAGACAATAAAAGAAAAGGAAAAGTGTTGCTAGAATTATAAATTGGTATGAATGTGAGAGCAAAAATCTATTAGTGCTCCTTGGGTGCGGCTTGAGCTGGAGGCACCAGGGCCCGAGACGCCGCAGACCCAGGAACCAGAGAGGTTCAGAAGTGGTGAATAATAGCTCTTGAAGCTGCAATGAAAAAATGGTCTCCAATAAAATTACATTGCAAAAAATGGGAAAGAAACAGAAATGATTTTTAAGAGTTCAAGAGGCAGAACCTGAAGAATTTGTGGTAGAAAGTGCTGGACCAACGTGTGGTTAATGGGAAGGTAGAGAATTTCCTGAAGTGGAAGAGTTGCTGATAATACTTGAGAACCTGAAAAAATTTTTAGATTATCATTAATTGAGACATTTCTGAATTCTCAAAAAGCTGATAAAGAAGAATATGGTACAAAAAGGAAATCTTTATCTGACAGTGAATCTGATGACAGCAAATCAAAGAAAAAAAGAGATGCTTCTGACAAACCAAGGGCCTTTGCCAGAGGTCTTGCTCCTAAGCGAATCATTGGTGCCACAGACAGCAGTGGAAAACTAATGCTTCTCATGAAATGGAAAGATGCAGATGAGGCAGACTTGATGCCGGCAAGAGAGGCAAACATGAAATGACCTCAAATTGTCATTGCGTTTTATGAAGAGAAGCTAACTTGG